CAGGGCTGGACACCGAGAGGCTCCTTGCCTGCCCCCACACATTTTCCAGGTCTGTTAACCCCTTCAACAGCGCAGGACTGCCCCTCGCAACATGGCAGCCGCTGCACTCTGCAGCCACCTGGGGTCAGCTTACCCCGCAGCTGCGCAGGTCCCTGCACACACAGACTCACATCTGTCTTTCCCACTCGTGACAACAGTGATGTACTTGGCTCCCTCTAGGCCCTGGAGCCTTCCCATGCTGTGGGTTGTCGTCGGCGATTTTTCTGGCACGGTCCTGTCCACAACCTTGAGCTCCTGCCTGGAAGATCGTGATTTCCAAGCCATGCCTCCCTCTTCATTTTATGATTCTGCTGGCAGTCTAACCCTCATTGCTGCCTCTGCTTCTGAGTGTCTTCTGCAGTTAAGTGAGACAGATATTTCAAGTTCACTCCCCTTTAATCTTGCCAGTAAAGGAGAGCTGTGGTCTTGCTGTGTGGATTCCAGTTAAGAAGCGGTGGAATTCTAACATACCCAACATTCAGCAGGGACTTACACCACAGCTTGCTCGTGGCCCACATGGGAGCAGCACACCCCCGTGCACACAACCCCTAGCCCACACCTCTGTAAATATAAGGACCGCTGTGATTCCATGAGTGGTAGAGGAGGCCTATTCTTCTAGTACCCACACCCCCACAGAAGATAGACCATGTACCTGATCCAGGTGAAAATGCATGAATTCTGGGTAACCCAGGATCCTGGAGGGCCACCTCCAGGCCTGCACTCCGCTGCATCCCTGAGTCCACAGTTGGCCCTGGCAATCCTTAGGCCAGATCCACGCTATGAAAGTCTCCTCCAGGGAGCAGAAATGTGCAAACTCCCTGAGGCAATCAGAGATGTTATGGGCACAGGTTTAGGTGCCTTTTCAGACAGATGACGGTCAATGTGGTTTGGACTTGGAATGAGAACTGGTCCTAGAAGCAGCTCGCCCATCTTAACTACATCATCAGTCCACTGTGGTCTTAATGCACCCAGGCTGCTGGAAACTGTGTATCCTATCAGAGGGCAGACTTTCATCCTGACATTTTGTCATCACAATTTACCTAAGAGGGAAGATACTTTAGGAATAAGAAGGGAAATGACCCTGTGGGAAGCTGGACACGTCTCCATAGCAAACTCTTCAGAATGGAAAATGGCAGCAGCTGCCTTACTGCTTTTAAAGTTTGTGTTATAGCTTTTGGAGTCCCCAAAACTTGCCTGATGTCACTGTTCATTAACTTAAAAACCTACAGGGCTGAGAGGACTCGGGGGTGAGGTGCTTGCTGTGCAAGTGTGGGGGGCTGAGCCCTAAAGCCCAGAATCCAGGGAGCCCCAGCTGCAGAGTGCTGTCTGCACAGCTCTCACGGGGAGGGTCCAGACAGCGACATCACCGAGCTGGCCGGCCAGCTACTCTACTTGGAAAAGCAAGCCCCACCTTCTCAAGTACATGGTGCACAGCAATAGACAGAAATACACTGCCAACCTTGGTTCTCCACCTGTGCATGCACAGACATCAACACCTGCACACATATGTGCGCGGACACACATCCCATACTCACACAGACACGATCACACTCCTAGGCCGGTTTCTCTGAAGATTATAAAAGCCTTGGACTGCACAGAGTGAAGGGCAGTAAGAAGACACTGGACACAGAACTCCCAGGGTCTGATAACAGTGCTGGTTAAAAGAAACCAGTGCTGGCTTAGCATGGTAGCATGTACCTTCAATCCCACCACTTGGGAGGCAGATCTCTGTGAGTTTGAGGCCAGCTTAGTCTACACAAGTTCCAGGACAGCCAGAGCTATGTAGTGAGACCCTAACAAAATAAAGGAAGGAAGGAAAAGGAAAGAAGGAAGGAAGGAGGGAGGGAGGGAGGGAAAGGAAGGAAAAGTAGTCCTTATTACAGTCACACAGATGTGAAGACAAAGGGAACTATCAAAAATCCCGAACCCAATGGCCTTCGCAATTGTAAAAGTGGCACTGTGCAGTGGTAGCAAAGGCAATTAATAAAGATAAAACCCAGTCAGACACCAAAAGTACTCACCTAATCCGGTCATGCTCATGTGGAAAATTCCACTCATGCTACAGAGCCAGCCATACAGGAAACATGTGCTAGACTTCGATCGGCATCCACTCACTGAGCTGAACAAGATGCTGCACATGTATAAGGCAGACAGTCGTAATGCAGGCGTGAGGCTGCAGAAGGATCTGCCAGGAGGCAGAGGCAATGGGCAAATCCAGTTAGGATTCTAAGCTAAAACCTGCAAATACTACACAAACCTCCAGCCCAGGCCCTGGGAGAGGGAAGTCCACTGCCTTCCAAAGGCCACCACAGGACTCGTGTTTAAGGAAGCAAATTCCAGATCACTGCTGGGAAAGACATTGAACACATGCCTTCTCCCGGGTCGTCGGAGCACCACTGACAGGAAGCTCCACCAGCCACCCACTTCCAGTAAGAACGTGTGCTCTGTGCACTGCACCGCCTCACTGGGACACTGTGTGACACAAGTCACACCCGATACTTCCCTGGATGCGAACAACAGTAACACACCCTTCTTAGGACGCTCTTGATTACACACCTCTCCTTGCTCTAGTCATTTCTGGGTGCAGGTTCAGTATCTTAGCCAAATCTTTCTAAAAGGATGACCTGACCCCATTCCAACTTCCTGAGTCAAACACTGGGTGGGGCATGTGTGATTCTACAAAGATCCCAGACCTGTCTGCTTTTCAATCAGTAGGTGCTCACTAGTTTATCAAAACCACCCTTCCCCTGTCTGCTTCCTGCCTATGGACACCCGAGGTGGGAATGGCGCTCCAGGCTACCCGACCCTCACTGACCAGTCTCCTTAGGCTACTTCTCTGCATCACACCTTGGCTCTTCACACTAATGCATCAAACCACCTTGCTCCACCCGCACAGCACTTACAGCACTTCTGCGATGGCTGGTAGCAGGTGAGCGGCCACCTCATCTCCCAAAGGCCATTTCCAACCCACCTGCTAGGCTGCTGCCTACTCCTCAGGTCACGACTTGGTGCCTGACACCCAACTCTGCTCCTCTCTACTGGCTTCAGCCAAGGAAGCAGGGACAACTGTAGGATTACAAGTATAAGATAGAAACCCAAAGGTGACAATCTTAGTTTAATCAGAAAGATAATCAAATCAACTTCCTTCTTCCTCAGGGTATAAGCAGCAACACCTACTTTTAGGTGTCTTAGAACGCTGTGCCCTGAAGGATGCCAGTGTTTTCCTAGCAACAAGAAGGCTTGGAAAAGCACAGCGGACACCACCATCTCCTCCCACGTTCAGAGCCCTCGTCTGTAGCTGCCTTCAGCATTCACATTGTGAGCTTGCCCTACCTTTGCCCCACCAAGGTGTGAACGTGTGTGTTGTTACAGTGTGACTACTTTCAGAACACAACCACAGAGCTGCTCTACCCTGCGTGAAGTCCTCCCAGCAGGGTTGTGGAGAGGGGGTGCAAGAGAGAACTGGGGAGGAAGAAGCAGCTACACAGGTCCACAGTGGAAAAATCTAGGTCAAAGGTTCACAGCCTTCCTAATGCTGCTACCCTTTAATACAGTGCCTCACGTTGTGGTGACCCTAACCATAAGTTTCATTGCTACTTCATTTTTAAGTGTAATTTTGCTACCGTTCTCAATCATAATGTAAATATCAGCTATGCAGGATATATGCAATCCCTGAGAAAGGGTCATTTGACCCCTGAAGGGGTCTAATCTAGGCAATTACTTTGTGCTCACATTAGTGTCTAGTTGGAGAGAGAGCTTTGTCTCACGACCAAGGCAAGAGTATCTTTGAAAGTGCTTGTGCTCAGCCAGTGTTAAAACTGCTGCAATCCCTGCCCTGATGTGGGCAGCTTGGTTCCTTACCTTTTCCTGCTGCTGGCAGCTGGGACCTAGAACCTGAAGGAATGTATGAAGAGAAGCAAGGACGGCCACATGGGTCTTCACGGCCAGCATGCACACACTGCCAAGGACTGCGCTTGGAAACAGGCCAGACTCTGCCCTGCAGAGATCCCAGACTCTAAGAACTCTGGTCTCAGGACACCAAAATCCCACACAGCTTTTATATTCTCAGTCATCTCCATGCTCAGACAGGGCACTGAGGCCCAGTCCTGTGTCTGCAATCTACTGTGCATGGTCAGCAGAACAAGAACAGACACAGAGCAAAGTGGGAACCTAACCAGGTAAAATAAGAGTAGGCAGTGAAAAGAAAGGTGGGGACCGATTGAAAATGAAGTGCTGACTGTCTCTTCATGTACCCGCACCGTCAGAGCATGGTGCATTTAATAAGCCGGAGCAGGACAGTGGCTACAGCCCAGATGGCATTACTGAGGCCTCCAATTACGACAGTCTCATTAAAATAAAATAAAAAATGTAGTCCTATTTATTAGGTAAAAGTAAGTCTTGGGCATTTTAGTCCAGTATTATAAAATATGCTTGTTACCTAAGGGGTAGGGAATCCCATATCCTAAGACAAAAAAACTTAGGGAATTTTCTACTCTAACACAGGAACTCTACAACCAACAGTTTCGTGTGAGTCTCTTACCTCTGAACGCCACCTTAACACATCTGTGTAAGCTGACCTAGAAAAGGCTGCCGCGGCATGGTAGCCCCATGGAGTCTGCACAGGACAACGGCCAGTGCGCCCCCAGGAAGCACTCGCAGTCAGGGTAACTGTGGCCCTCAAAACCCCTCTGAACACAAACAGGACCGCGGAAAAGCAGTAACTGCGAGACAATCATTCAGGTAAAACAATCCATGTAAAAGAACGACTCCTCCATTCAGCCTCCAATTTTTACTTTTAAAGGAACATGAAGCCTCATCTCCACGCCACAGTATTCCCCTTACACAGGCGACTCAATCATGCCTGCTATACCTACCAGACCTGGAACGGCTTCATTGCATAGGAAGATTTTTACTGTATTTACATTTTCCCCTTAATTTTTAAAAAAGCATAGTAAAGAGTCTGAGGACAAATTATTCAACTGTTTATCATACATAAGACCGCATGACTATAATACAAAGGGGGGTCTTTTTTCATTTAACGTTACAATATACACAGCAAGTCCGGACTAGATCTTACAATCTGAACACAGGTATTTAACCTTTTCCATGCTGTTTATGTTTACAATGCACAGAAGTCCTGTAACCAAACTGTGTAGTAAAGCACACAAAACTGGACTGTAACATAACACAGTATGCAGAAGCACTGGATTGTGTGGTTTCCGTTATGTAAGGATCAGCTTAAAAACTGCTTTCTTTTTTGGTGCTTGCTACAATGTGGCAACCAGCACAGGGGAGAAAAAAAGACCTGAGCCACCTGGTGTGGTGTTGGGGTTTCTAAGCAGCAGGTGCCGCCACCGCATCCCTTCTGACCGAGCTGCACTCGAGGTGACGCCTTTATTCACGTAAACTCTCATCGACTACCAAGTTCAAAACAATCCACAGGCTTGACATTTAATTACAAAATAAATATGGATTTCCTGATTAACAACCAAAGTGTTTGTGTTTATAAACAGGCTCTCCAAGTTCCCACGCACACTCACAGGGTTTCGGGCCTTTCTTCTGTCACTGTTACAGTAAAAACCTGCTTTTGCTCAGGGGGAAAAAATTGACCTAGTCAGCCACATGGAGCTGACCAATAAAAAGTAACGTGGTGTTCTGCTGAGCTGCTCCCAACAGGGCTGTCGGCAGGCAGAGGTAGGTCCTAGGCTTCGTGAGGTCCTGGACAGGGAAATTACTCTGTCTTCACTCTCCCAATCCCACTGCTTAAGAGTGTAACACCCTAAAATTGCTCAGTTTAAATGGGAACACAAATTTAGCCACTGCCAGACTGTGTTACATGAAGGCAGCATAATCTCCGAGGAGGCACCTGCTAACGCCAGCCTGCTCACGGGTCCTGCTCAGGCTCTGCCCGCCTCCTGCCCTACTGTGGACCTGTTGGTTCAGTCAAGGCCTCACATTCAAGTTTACAAGTAAGTTACTCGGGAGTACAAGCATTAGCTGCTGGCTCCACAGTGTCTGGATCCAGTGTCCCTTTCCCTTTAGAAGCCTGAATGCATTTAGAATGTGGCAGGTGTTTACTCTCGAGTTAGGTGTCAGTCTATTCTGTCCAGTACACAGATTGCTGTAATGTCTTGGCTATGGACTCGACAACAGTTCCAGTTTTGTTTAAGCAATAGTACAGCCATAATTCCCACTGACATTGAAAATGGTCTAGTCACACCTTGTGTCAAAGTGCAGGACTGCTACATCATCGGTTACAGACATCTATGTGCTATAAAAACAGCTTTGGTACAATAAATTATCAAAAAGAAAATAAATTTTTGTAAAATTCACAGCATAATTGTGAGGCAAAAAAGCAGTCACATAAAATTCTGCATTTTAAAATGTTCAGGATGAACAGAAGACGTCTTTGTGCAGAAGAAATGGTGACGACACCACGTGCCGAGAAAAAGCCAAAGAAAAGGTAAAAAGCAGGAAGGACACAGCTGTAGCTATTTCCATCAAAGCAAACCACTACGTCTGTGGCCTTCAACCAATAGGGAGTCAGCTTTATGACACACGCAAAGTGACCTTGCAATACCTTACAATTAGTGGGTCACAAAAGTCTATTTTAAAAGAAAGGCCTCTTGAATTACCCATTCTCTGTGTTTTCAGCATTAAGGACTGTCTGCAAACGCATGTCCGCAAGTGATTGTATCTGAAATGGTAGGCTCTTCTAACTTCGAGTCCAAATCCATAAGGCCAAAGGTTATCCCAAAGACCACCACTCAGACCTCCCCAGGACTGGCCACAACTGACCCGGTGTTTGCTTCTCAGTGCACCTTGCTGGGGAGACCAGTCCCGTTCCATTCCTATCTTCCCATGGCCTCTCCAACAGGAGAGCCACAGGATCCCATGGAATTGCTGCTTTGCTCCTCGGTAGGCTCAGATAGGAGAGTCCTGATCCCCGCCACTTAGCATGCTTACTGTGCCTTCCAAATGTCAACACAATCGTTCCTCTCACACAGCAGAAGATGGTGTCTGTGTGAGCTGGAGGCCCTCTTCCTTACAGTACTGCATTCCGTGCCCAAACATGTAGAGGACAGAAAACCCAAATCTCACGCCCTACCCCAACCCAAAACAAAACATGGGGAAAAGGAGAAAATTTAAAAATGAAAAAAAAAAAAGAAAAAGAAAAAAAGAAAAAAACCAAAACACCCTTATGGGGCCCTTTATGCAAATTATGTGCAGTGCCTTTTTATTTTAAAATTAGTTGGCAAATGACCAAGACCAACATCTGAACATGAACTTTTGTTGGATAGAAAGACAAACCCACTGTGACAGGGAGATGGCAGGTTAAAAGGGGACAAAAAGAGGGCACCTCGGAGCTCTCTGTGAAGACAGGTGGACATGGCTCTTAAAAACTTCACTGTCCCTTTGCAATCTTTTCAAGTTAAAAAAAGAGTCAGCTTCGCCCTCTGGTAGCGGTTCAGTGTGTTAGTCTCCTTCTGATTCAAGCAGCCTTGCCCTCTGGTAGCGGTTCAGTGTGTCAATCTCCTTCTGATTCAAGCAGCTTCGCACTTTGTTTTGGGAAAAAAACACCACTTCTATAAAAACACACAAGAAACAAACTCAAGTTTCAATGTAGTCACGAGCTAGCTACAGGACTCTGTTGCACACACACTCCTGTCATGGGAGACTCTTCTCTATCAGCCCCTTGCCTCATGGTCAGGTGTCCTTCAGTCATGTAATGTGCAGGGCCTGTGTTAGCAGAAAATTGGTACGTGGGATGTCCAGCTATGCCAGTCTCTTGGCGGGGATTGGAGTAGACGGTCAAGTTAACGTCCATAGCTCCATTCTGTCCAAAGTCCAAGGCATTAGCAGCCACTGGGCGGTTCTGGTAGGCCTGATTGCCTTGATTACCAGTAGAGGAGGAAGATGTAGAGGAAGAAGTCGTTGAGGAAGACAGGGATGTCATGGAGTGGTGACTGTGGCCAACCTCCATGGAATCCTGGGTAGAGGAGCTATTTGTTGGAGAATTGTAGACCCTTGGCCTGGTCCGGTTACCCAAGGCTTGCTGTCCATGGTGGTGGTGATGGTGATGGTGGTGGTGGTGGTGATGGGAACTGTTTCCATGGTGATGATGCAATGCATTCGGCTGAGGGGCTACATGAAAGGTTGTTTCTTGAACAGGATGAGTTTCAACAGTGACTTGTGTAGGAGCTTCAGTGCCTGACCAGCCCAGAGGAGCCGGAAACTGCTGGCGCACCTGGAAGGGGAGACATTATCAAAGGGTTACTCAGCATCTGAGCATGGGTACTAAAGCCAATGAGCTGGCGGATGGGGGGAGTATGGAAACTTTTAACACACTAGACTGTTCTATACCACAAAAGTCTAAGTAAGTTTCAGAGCGAAGAACATTTTACTATAAAAGTGGTCAATTTTAGGAAAGCTACACTCATGGCCAGGCTCCTGTTTCACTATCTATGCTGGGTCAGCAAGCTTCTATAAAGAACCCAGCAACACTCTGGGTAGGTCCTCCTTCCAGCTTTCTTTACTCAACAAAAGGATTCAGATTCACCCAGACTCTTGACAATCCCTCCTTCCCTCTGAACCCAGCAGGAAGCACCAATGAGATCCCTCACACATGATCCCAATCTGGCCACCACCACTATCACTTAGCCTAGACTAATGCAAGGACCTCTTTACTAAATAAAATAAACAAATAAAAAAATCACCCCCTGCTTCTATACTTGTCCTTCTCAACCCACTGAGAGTAGCGAAGTTCTTTCAAAACACAATCGGCTCATTCTGTCTGTAAACCTTCAGTGACTGCCCACTTCCTATCACTCCAACCTTCCTTAAGTGCTTGGGTTCTAATCACCTGAGACCTCTTTCCCACCCTTGGCCTGGACATGTGCTTCTGGACATCTGCTCACTGCTTCCTCCTGTCAAGAATGCTTTCATTTCTAATCTTTGCTTGGGCATCTTTTTTTTAACTCATGCCAGTTCTGGAGTTCCCAGGTGCTCTGGCTACTTCTGCCCCAGCCTCTGCAGCAAAGGCTGCTGATCCCATTCTGTGTACTGTACTTTCCAGACTCCTTCGTGCTGGACACAGCCATCAGCACAGCTATGGCTGGAATGAAGGTGGACTTCAGCTGTCACTGCTCGCGAGGTATAGGCAGGTCTGTCTGCTGGACAGACACTACACCGTGCACAGCTGAGCCCAGGTGTGAGAGATCACACACTATGAGAACAGGGCACAAACGGCACACCAATGCTCTGAAGAGCCGCTTCGGTTACTTCGCTGCCACAGTCAAGGAAGGGGAACGCTCTATTCTCTCAAACAATTTACTCGATAGTGAGTGTTTAGTCTACTTTACTCAACATGCCTCACCAAACATGTGTCCTTCTCAGCCATGTGAGACTTGACTGGCTGAGCAGCGAGGGTCTAGCCCAGCCCTCACTAACACCATGCAGGGAATACTCTGGGGTCCACCGCAGCCTTCCGTTTTTATGTAAACAGTACTTGTCATCTGTGTTCTGCTGCATTTACTTGTGTCACTAGAAGCCCTGAAAAGGCAAAGGCTTCTCGACCACCAATTTATCACAAATTGTTAAGTATTATTCAATAAAAGTTATATGGAAATGACGTTCCTGAAAATCCAGCGGGGAAAATAAAACTGACAGACAATCTCAGGAAAGAAAATGTAGGTTGAACAACCTTAATCTGGCATGAAATGCTTTACAATCAGAGCACTTCAGAACTACTTGATACTGTGCACCAACACTCTGCACTGGAAGAGCCCTGTTACCTATGGGAGGGCTAATTCCTGAGGCACACTTATAATCTCAGGCAGAGAGAAGAGACTGAAAGATCCTAACAGACTACAACAGGGTGCTCTCTGAGAAATCTGAGTGGTCAGCACGAGATTCTTGTGCTGCATCTATTATCAAATGGTTAATTATAAAATCTTTAACCAGGCGGTGGTGGCACACACCTTTAATCCCAGCACTTGGGAGGCAGAGGCAGGCAGATCTCTGTGAGTTTCAGGCCAGCCTGGTCTACAGAGTGAGTTCCAGAACAGCCAAGGGCACACAGAGAAAACATGTCTTACAAAACTGAAAACAAAAGAAACGAACCCCTTAAATTATAAGGTGGGAATCCCTGGCACAAGCATTGCGGCTGTACAAAAAGCAGTCTGACGACTAGGATGTCTCCATGACAAGTGGGCAGGTCGTGTATGGCACAGACAAAGCTGGACAGAGGACAGAGCAGGGTGGGAGAGGATCTCATCCTGACATTCAGAAGCATACACAATCTTATTTGTAGATTTTCTGTTAACAATTTCAGGCCATAGCAGATGTCACCAATGAAGTCAAACTGCAGACAGACCAGGGACACTAACACTTACTTTTCTCATTTTTTTTCTTCCCTTCTTTTGGTTGTGTGCCTATGTGTTGCTGGAGACCTCATCTAACCAGGGCATTGTGTACTCCAGGCAAATGCTCCATCATTACACTGTACTCTAAGTCGCTAATGTAATGAGAGTAAATTTAACTCTCAATTTATGTTTACTGAGTTGTAAAAATCTCGCAGAAGATAATCTGACAATTATGATCAAAATTATATGCCGCCTCACTATGACTCAGCAATTTTACTTCCAACAGTTTTCAGAAATTTACAACACAGACAAAATGCACATGAACTTTTTTTCCCCTTTCTTTGTGTAACAGCTCTGGCTGTCCTGGAACTCACTTTGTAGACCAGGCTGGTCTTAAACTCAAAGATCCATCTCCCTCTGCCTACTGAGTACTGACTGAGATTAAAGGCAGGCAGCCCCCCGCAACCCTCAACCCGTGCCACCCCTTCACACATAAAGTTGGGGGGTTTTGGCTGTTTTTTTTTGAGACAGGGTTTCTCTGTGTAACACCTCTGGCTATCCTGGAACTCGCTCTGTAGACCAGGCTGGCCTCAAACTCACAGAGATCCGCCTGCCTCTGCCCCCGCACCCCAAATGCTGAAATTATAGTTGTACGCCACCACCACCCAGTGAAGATTTTTTTATTATGCCATCATAAATAGTAAAAATGACTGTAAATAAACAAAAAGGCCATTAATAAGCCATGAATGAAATGGCTCATAGAATATTCAAATGATGTAATACTGCAAAATATAAAATAGAAGCTTTATTTTGATATAGGAAAAATATCAAATCTATGCCAAATGTAGAAAAATCTAGATGTAAAAATTTGTATGGTATGACATTGTTTCTATACAGGCTAGAGTGTAGGACATACCTAGGGTATGTGTTTCTATACAGGCTAGAATGTACGACATACCTAGGGTATGTGTTTCTATACAGGCTAGAGTGTAGGACATACCTAGGGTAGGTGTTTGGCGTGTATAGAATATTGAGTATGCATATAAAATACTACCTGACTAGTACATATTATCTGATAAAGTATAATTAGATTTACTTTTACATAAAGAACATTTTTAGAGACATACAAGCTACCACTGTTAGCTTGTACTAACCTAGTGGACGTGATAAAGAGGACCTGCTCACAGCCCTGTGTGCTAGGTTTCTTTTTTACCACGACACTGTATCAACCATTCAAAACCTGGCTGGCAAAATGGCTCAGCAGATAAAGGCACTTGCCACTAAGCCTATCTGAGAGTTTAACTGTCCAGGACCACAGGTGGACAGAGATGACTCCCTCAAGTTGTCCTCTTACCTCTATAGCCATGCTATGGTTTCCGTGTGCCCACATACATACATACATACATACATACATACATACATACACACACAAGATAAATAAGCAACTAAAAAAATTAACCCCAAAAGAAAAGAATATGTTGGGCACAGCAAAGCATGAGTCTGATTCCAACTCCTGGGAGGCAGGAGGAGGACTACATAATGCGGGAGGCAGCTGGGGCTGCCAATAGCCACCCAAAATAAACAGGGAGATCAGTAAATAACGTGAAAACAACCAAACTGTGACTTCTGTAAGCTAGATGGGGACACAGGGTATGTTATTCTGGGGACTTTCTCTGTGTGTTTACAGTACAATATGTATGGAAGACATGAACTAAGGACAGTTAGTCCAAAACAATTTAGGGCAGCTTTTATGAACAGGTGATATTGAAGAACTAAGTGCATAGTGTCATCACTAAGCCAGAGCAGGAAGAGTGGTCCAGCTGAGCACACAGACACAAAGAGAAAGGCCTGGGGATTAAGTGCGGCACATTCCATCTGTAAAAGATCTCAGTTTGAACATTCTGAGGTCAGAAGAGAGGGGCAGAGCGCAGACACACTGCGGTCACAGAAGGCTCTACATGTTCAGGTACAAGGGGAAACAAAGGCAATATAAAACAGGAGACACACACTGGACTGGAGAAGGAACCTGGGGCCGACAGACACATAAAACAGGGGAAGGGAACAGCAGCTGGGTGAGCTATGGGTAAGTGCATGCATAGGTAAGGCTGTACAGGTGGAACCCTGTCCAAAGCAGGGAAGTCAGGGAGAGAGGCCGAAGGCATCTACACAAAAGTGGAAAAGTTTGTGGCATTTTAGAGAACAGAAGGGAGACAGGACTCTGAGAAGTGTGGAATTACTGAATAGCTGGGTGAACACTAACAGTGATGACGAAACCATGTGACAGTTTCTCCTGCAGAATCTAGCAGCCCAGTCACAAGAAAGTAAACCATTAACCTAGCAGATTCTACTTACTCCACCAAAACTAACCAAATGGTTTCTCATCACAAAAATCAAAATGTAGGTGACAGTGTGAAGGCGTACTATAAAGTCATGTGCTCTTTTCTGAACAGGAACACCTCCATAGGCTCATGTTTGAGTATTTGGTCCCCAGCTGCAGCAAGTGGCAAAGGTCAAAGCTCTTGCTGGAGCTGGCCAATGAGGTGGGTCTTGAGCTTATCTATGGCCCAGCCTCAAGTCTTATTTCCTGAATGCAGAGAGGCACTGCGACCAGGGAGCCTCCTCTTCCCTAGAGAACGGATGCTGTCCTGTGGGCTGGGGCCGAGACGAGCCTGTCTTCCTGCACTGCTCTCACCTGTGTTCAGATCTCAGCACTGCCACTGCTGACTCTTAGTGAGTTTACTAAATCACCAAGTTTAAGAAGCAAAACCAAGCACAGACTGATTCAGAAACCAAGTCTGGGAGCGGAGGTCACAAGAGGCAATGACAGAGACCCACACCATGCAGCTCAGGGAGACTGTCTGCACATACGGAGTCTCAGCACCACTGAAACAGGGATCAAACTGCATGAGGCTTGGACACTGCTGTGGCAAATAACAATCAACACAGGGGGAATGTCTACATGGATGGTGGTGTGTATGCCCAGTGCAAGTTCTCATTTCTAACAAGAAGGGAGTTACATGGTGTCCATAGTCAAAGCTTTCTTCTTCAGCAGTGAGGATATTACATGCCTTTAGAAAAAGAGGACACAGAGAGCCTCACAGTTGAGCGAGTGGGCCGTGCCATGAGCACTGGGGAGCTCACCTGAGGGCTGTGTGTCTCACAGTCCATGGCCTGGACAGCAGCTGTGAAGTGTCCCCCGCTGTGCCGATGCTGGTGCGTTGGGTCTGACCTGGCTCTCCCACTGTTGCTCGTTCCCGAGGACCCACCTTCAGCAGAGGACACGAAAGAGCTGAGTTTAGGCCGGGCTCTGAGACTGCATCATTACTCAATACAGGCCCAGGAAGACACTCAGTGAGCAAGAACGTGTGTTCTGCAGGCACTAGGATCTGGGCACGGGCCCCAGCACCATGTAAAAACCCAGCTGACTATGTCAGAAGGAGACAGGGGACCTGGCTCATACAGCAGGCCTTTGGTGCAGTGAGACTCCTGTCTTTAGGGCAGAAGGCAGGCAATGAAAGGAAGGCACATGGTGTGATGTCTCCACATGTGATCTTAGGTGTATGCAAATGCACACGGCACATATAAAGACACAAGAAACTTTCAGAAAATAGTACTAACTTGAACTACATCACGTTACTGAGCTCAGAGGACATCTTCCCACATCAGCCATAATACAGCTAAGTTCACCTCAGTCATTTGCCTCAGCCACAAAAAAATTAAAGGATATAGAAAAGTAACTCCATTTAAAACCCACTTATAATTTTGGCTAATAAGTAGCTTTGCTGCCAACTGTCAGGTAGACAATTGTCACATAAGGACTGGATTTGCTACTATCTAGACAGGAGGGTGGTGTTTACAGGTGAGCAAACTCAGAGTCACACACTTGCAAAGAACAGGTTTAAGTAAAATAATCCTTGTCACCCATAACAAAATTTTTGAAAAAGTAGTTTCAATACTCTAAAAGAACCCCCCACTAGTAAGCAAACAGAAAGCACGTGCAAGGAAGCCCCCAGTTAGATGGCAGACCTGAGCTGGACGAGGTGCTGGAGGTGGTGCCTGAAGACTGAGACTGCTCCATCGCAGGGCTGGTGGACACACTGTTACTTGTGTTTGTACCTTCATCAGCTGTCTTCTTGAAAAAACTGTGCTGCAGGGCATAATAAGGTTGAATTCGAGTTTTGGGGTCATAATCAAGCATCCTTAAAATGAGGTCTTTGAACTTCAAGTAGTCAGCTACAGTATGACCCGATTCCCCAGCACGCCGTCCTCCAGGTCCTCCTGTCTCTACTCCGAGAATATTATGAAGTTTCCGGGTTCCTGGTGGTTTGTATTCCTGTTAAAGAAGAGAAAACAAAAACTGTCTCCGAAGTCGGTGGGAGATGTGACATCTACGTGATTCACTCCAAATGTCTGAGGCACTCATGTGTACAAGTCTTTGTGAGGAGGGACAATTACTGAGCTAGTCAGCCACCCCCCTACTTCTGCATACAACACTTAAACACACGTGGCTATGGAAATCCAATGTAGTTTTGAGAACACAAAAGCGACTACGAAGGTCAGTGTAGCTCAGTGACCATCAGATGATGGCTGGCCTAGGCTGGGCTTGCACAATTTCAAAGACCCAAGGCAGGTAGATGATGGCCGGCCTAGAGTCGGGTTTGTACTACTTCACTGAGGAACATGATACTTGTTTTTCAAGTTTGTGTAAAAAGCAAACAAGCAAGTAAACACACAGAATGACACAGAAAACCCACAAATACAATCATTGTGAAGTTTTTTGTAGAGAAATATGGACTCTGACCTGTTCTACTCTGTACCTAGATTTGTTTGTTCTGAGACAGGGTCATTAGGAATGTAGTCTTGCCTGGCCTACAACTCACCACATAGACCAGGCTGACTTCAAACTCACAGAAATCACAGAAAGACTTGCCTCTGCCTCCCAAGTAATGGAACTGAGATTACGGTTGTCCACCACTAAGCCAGGCTGGCTGTGTACCTGAGAACACGCTGCACTGCATCCTGACGGTGGCTCAGAGTACAGAAGCACTGGCTATGCTGACCTGCTCAGATACAGTGAGAGCCTACTAGTCTTCTCTTACAGCACGGCTCATGAGCTGGCTAACAACACAGTGGGGTTTCCTGACACTTATTTGGTAAAGCGCAGCAGTGTCAGCCTCCAGCTCTCTACAAACACCAAGGTCATAACAGCATCACTGGACTTGGAGTGATAGTGTGGGATTCTTCAGATGGTTGTTGAAAGTCAAGCATCAAGACAAATCACAAATGCGCGCGTGCTTGGCAAGTGCTCTCCCACTGACCACAACTCAGACCCGAATAGTCATCCCGGGTTAGAAGAGTCCTGGAGTGGAAAGAGGCCAGCACGCCGGACAATGAGCAAGGGCAGTTCAGTCACACGTGGGCAGACAGAAGAAGGTGGAAGAGGTCAGGCTGCTGGTGAATGGCAGCACGTACAGAGCTCCAGAGATTCCTTTAGCCATGAACAAAGAAGGCTGGAAGAAGCCTCCTCTCATGGTAAATAAACCTGAGTCAAAAAACCAGCACCCAGATTCAGCTAATGCCAGCCCTATCCTACTGGTCTGACTGTCTGCTTCTCAAAGGAAACGACACTTACATCTCAACTTTCCTCAAATACAGAAAGATTAAAAAATTATAGGAACAAACAATGGAGCCCATAATTTAGTGGGGGAAATGGGTTACCAATCAACCCATACTGATAAATGGCTCAGGCAGTAAAATTGGCAGGCAGTGAATGTAAGTTATACAGTTGAAAATGTAGGCAGCCGTGTATATAGATGGGATTCAGAAAAGGAAAGTCTTCATAAAAAATAAAGACAAACACAAATTTTAACTAAAACACTGTCAGAAGTGAAGAACTCACTTAACATCTGGGTGTTGTGTGCACATGGGCAGAGGCCAGCAGACAACCTCAAATGTCCTTTTCTGTTTTTCCTCTAAGCAGCATCTCTCATTGGTCTGGAACTCACCAAGCAGATCAGACTGGCTAGCCGGGAAGCCCCTGGGACATCCCTATCTGTGCCTCCCAGCACTGGGACAAAAAATGCATACCATCATGTCTGGCCTTTTTGCTTTAGGTGGATTCTGAGGATTGAACTCTGGTCTTTGTGCTGACAAGGGAAGCACGTCACTGACACCTATTTCTCTAGCCTCCATCACAGTTTTAACAATAGATTAGGATTCAGAGTGCTGAGGAGCCATGGTTAAGAAAATTAATGGTGACCAGAAACACAGAATAAAGATATTATCTAAATTCAAAACACAAAAGCAAGGTAGGTACTACCGCACTCCCATAACACAGACAGTCCAAGCAGGCCTGTTATCCACTGCAAGACCCTGTGCTAAGCCAAGCAACCCACCTATGACACCAGAGAAAGAAATCTCAGGGTAACACTAAACTGACAACCATGTGTGTAATTGGAGAAGACAGCAAGACCGAGCAAAGCAAATGTCTGATGATAGCTAAGAACCACAAACCCAAGAATCTCAATACACTCTAAGGAGAATAAATACAAAAAAAAATGTAAGTGCATAATAATCAAGTACAAAGATCAAGTGTTTTAATCATCCTGAAGGAAAAGGAAACCATATCTTAGTAAGATACTGACTTTCTTCACAGACCGTGCAGTCGAGAAGAGGCAGGTCATATTCCTGAGGTGGGACATGCTAATCTGGAGCTCGGCAGACAGTAAGCTACCACAACCTGAAGAACTGCATCCTCTCAGACAATGACCTGAAGGAGAGTCTTCCTTCCTCCCTATGCTGCTTTCCACCAGGTATTTATTAGTGGCTAGAAATGCAACCAACGCTACTGACAGAAATAGACACACACACAAACACCCTACAGACCACTAAAACAAAGTATAATTTTTATCAAATACACAAGAAAGAATCACCAAGACAGATTACATACTAGGCTATAAAATCAGACTATAAATTTTAAATGAATGAAATCACATTTTAAACTACAGTGCTACTGAGCTAGAGATGAGTTAACATGTCTAGAAAATTCTCAAATAATTTGAAATTGCCAACAAGATAATTGTTGAATTAGAGAAGTCACAAGCTACGTCAGGACATGCCGGAATACTCTGACGAGACCAGGAAGTTGAACTCAATGTTGCACCAGAGAATGCCAGGGCCAAGTGTGCTTCATTACAGGTTAGGGTAAATGTTCCCAACTCAATTAACAAATTCAGTCTATAGTGGGGGTGGGGAATCACATGATCATCTCTGTAGATGCAGAAATGGCTTGTGACAAGGTTTAAAATGGAGTATCAAGAAAAGACCTAGAATGTGGACTGATTCTTGGAAGGCTTGCCCTGCCTGCAGTCAGGAGTCACTAAGGAGACAGTGATCTGCTAGTGTATGGACAGGGCACTGGAAAACAGCCCAAATGTGCCAACATAAAGGGTGAATTAGCTTTGTTTAAAAAAAAAAAAAAGCAATTGTCAGCAGATGATGCTCAGCACTGCCCCCTTCACATTATTCCATGCTCAAAACTGAATTCAAGATGAACCACAACAAAGTTAAGGGACAATCCAAAGGAATTCTAGGAGAAAACACCTATAAAGCAAATTTTTACTAACTCAGGAATGTAAAAGCAGTGGTGAGCTGCATTCCTGCCAGGACACCTGCTCCCCGACTAGTTTACTATCAATCATGTTTCTAGTTTACTATCAATCATGTTTTAAATAAACGCTGATTGGCCAGGCAGGAAGTATAGGTGGGTCAACCAGACAGGAAGTAGAGGTGGGGCAACGAGAACAGGAGAATGCTAGGAATGAGGAAGCCTATTCCTCCCATTCCTGCCCAGACCACCAAGAAGCAAGATGTAACCTGCCCAGTTGTGAAAGGTACTGAGCCGTGTGGCTAACATAGATAAAAACAATGGGCTAACATAAGTTATAAGAGCTAATAAGTAGGCTGAGCTAATGGGCCAATCAATTTTTATAACTTATAGAGATCTCTGTGTGATTTTCTTTGGGGCTTGCTAGCTGTGGGGTACTGGGCGGGACAGATACCCCAACAAGCCAGCCCTCATGTTACACAGGAATTAGAAAATAAAGCTCTACAAATCTGAACAACAGTACCAACTATTACAGGTGTTTCCTAACAGAAGTCTCGCCGGCATCCAAAAAGAGCATGTTTATAAAGGAGTAAGCGAGCACTGCATGGGAAAGGGACTAAGAGGCAATGAGGGCCTGTGCCCAGCGTAAGTAAGGCCCTTCCTGAAGAGCAAGAAAAAACTGAAAGAAGCTCTGTGAAATATTTTCTGATGATGACAAACACACATAGGCTCTACACTCTGGAAATTCTATTCTGAGAAAATGTCACCATTTAAAAAAAAAAAAAGATGTGTGGTGTTCTCACTAGCCTTAATCAATTAGTTCTTTTTTTTTTGTTTATCAGAGAGAAATTTAATGATACAGTTTCGTATTTTCCATGATCAAAGCTGAAATCTCAAAGAAAAACTTTAAATGTACAGAACCACCACAGAACTCGATTCAGTAATCTAAGTTTCTACATCAGGTAATGAACAGAATGGCAAAATAAACAAAAAGCAAGTAGTTCTTAATTATGTATCAAAAGAAAGTTTACTAACAGATAAAAAATTACAGTATAGTCAATGAAATACCATGAAGCAATAAAATGAATTAAGACCTGAGATGAACAATATAAAATTCCCAAAATATTATTTTACTAAGTAAGTGTGATACTTAGTCTTCACTATCAACTAGACAAGGCTTAGCAATCACCATGGACATAATCTCTAGGTGAATCTGTGAGAGTTTTCTACATTATTTTTGTTGAGAAGGAGGGAACTTATCCAAGTGTCAGGAGCACCAATCCACAAGCCCAGGGTCCCAGAAGGAATAAAAGAGAAGAGAGCTGGGCAGCAGCATCCACCCTCTGCTTCCTGACTCCAAGTACAGGTGACCCGCAGCTCCTGTTCCTTCTGCCATGCTTTCCCTGCTACCGTGAATGGCACTCACAAACTGCAAACAAAACCTCCCTCTCTTCTGTAAGTCAATTTTGTCAGAGCAGCAAAGTTAACATGTTAGGTGGCCATAGCACAGACTGTCATTTTTATGAAGTATACCTATTGATCAATCCCACTGCAGCAGAAACCAGAAGAACAGGACAGAGTCAGAACACAAGGTGGGACTCTGTGATACTACTCTATATTCTGTTAGGTAGTGAATGCAAACTGAACACTTACAACATGCACATATTATTGCAAATAAATTATGCTTCAATAAAATAGAAAGATTTGTGCATGTCTGCCCACTACAGAAGAGAACTACAGCTAAATATGTGTTTTTGGTGATATGAATGAGAATGTTCCCCATAGGCTCATGGGTCTGCCAACTGGTGGAGATGTCTGTGAAGATTTTGGATGTGTAGCCTTGCTGTTCAAAGTATGCTACTGGGGTAGAACTTCAAGCTTAAAGCCACATACCATTCCAGTTTGCTCCCTGCTTCCTGACTGTGCTGAAGAGGTGACCTCTCAGCTCAGAGCCTCCAGCTCCCGCCATCATGTCTGCCATCTGTTGCCATGTTGTTCTAGCCATTCTGGACAAGAACCCTCTGGAACTTTAACCCAAATGAACAGTTCCTTCTCTAAGCTGTCTTGGTCACCGGTTTTTATCACAGCAATAAAAAAGTAACTAATAGAGATTCCATTTAAACCTTGAATATGGGCTTCTGAAATATGAAAGCTGAAAAATTATGTTGTCAATGACAGTGTCTGAATGTTTGCTGTCTCCTCCCCACGGATGATCAGCTGATTGCTGATGCTGTTGCTTTGCTAAAAGAGAAATAAGTCAATCACTAAGTTTGACTGGGAAATCTTATTGAATTTACAGTTAATTAGTGGGTATTAAAGTGTACGTTAAGATTTGATTCACAAAGAAGATATACTAATTTATGAAATGCCTCTAATAACCAATACACAATAATAATTATAGCTCAATTTGAGAGAAATGATAGCTGACGAATCAGTTCCTTAATTTAAAATGACAGAGACTGGAAAAACTGAATGGGAAGAATGTTTTATTTTAAGGGGGTAAGTTTAAAATAAAAAGATGGCAGCAGACTGGACCGCAGAACAAACACAGCAACAGCTCTACCTGGAGCACTAGTCAGACTGAGGACGTTCTACTGATTCTGGTTCTGTCACAGGAAGATGGGCTGGGAATGGTTAACTATGTACACACATGTAAGAGACTCAGGGTGCCTGCATTTAGAGACAGCTTTCACAACATGTACAGGATGAAGTCGCAGGTATAATTTAGGAACTGGAGGCTGATGGCCTACAATTAGAGAGTAAGGCAGAATGCAAAAAGTTGCAAACCAGTTATGACAGAAATAATAACTATATATAAATCTCCAAGTACTGTAAAAATCATTTGGAGCTGGGGATATAGTTCAGTTGGGAGTGCTTACCTTGCACCTCAGCTACACATCAAGTTCAAAGCCAGCCTAGGCTACATAAGACTCTTGTCTCAAACCCCACCTCCCCCAAAAAAAACCAAAACAACAACATAACAGGGACAAAGAGCTTAGCTGGCTGGTTAGAGCTCCTGCTGCTCTCCCAAGGACCTGAGTTTGGCTCCCGGCACCTACACTGGGAAGCTATTTATCCCAAAACCCAACAAGATCCAATGTCACCATATGGCCTCTGTAAACATACACATACACATGCAGAAAAAGACACATGAATAGTGAACAAACCTTTAGGGAAAAAAAGCAAAACAAGAATCACTAGACATTAAAAGGCTTTATGACTAAGTAAGTGTGAATTAAACACCCTCAGCTCCCTACAGATGACACCTGGTGGCAGCAGCACTAAAATACAGGGTAAAAGAACTAAGGAAAAAAGTTCTTAAATATTAAAACCCAGAACTACACCCAAAAGATAACATGTATATACCAACTTTAATTATGTATCTGCACATTCTTTTCATCTGATAAAGCCCAAACTAGATTAGATATAAAATCAAGATGGAAATTTGGTATCATTTACTCTAAAATTAATATACTTGGGCCTCTGAAACAGGCATCAGATCTACCGCTGTTTAGAAGATGCAAACATCACCGTGCTATCTCAGGCACTGGGCTGGGAACCTGAGCTCCACTGTCAGTTCATATCCCTGAGAAAACAGCAGAAACTGCCTAAAAATCATCTTTTTCAGCTGAGCAGTGGTGGCACACACCTTTAATCCCAGCACTTGGGAGGCAGAGACAGGTGAATTTCTGTGAGTTTGAGGTCACCCTAGTCTACAGAGTTCCAGGACAGGCTCCAAAGTTATAGAGAAACTCTGCCTCAAAACAAAAACAAAAAATCATCTTTTTCACTTAAAAAAACAACTGACTGTACTTCTGACTTGCTGTGTGCAAGCTGTGAACTCCCTGACTCAGTACGGAAAGAAGCACACCAGCCTCACCAGCTGTCTCCAAACACAGCAGACAGTAGCACGTTCCCACCACAGCCCAAACAATCCTGACCATCAAGCAAACACTGGCCCATGCACACAGCTCAGATCAACAACATTCAACTCATCAAAATACCATCTTTTAATTATTAGTTATAATACTGCTGTCAAGTAAATTCAAGGAGCTATGATATGGCAGTCCTGATGAGAAACAAGACAGAAAAAAAAGGAGGTGGGGAGAGAAAGGAAGCCCCCTCCAAGAATGAGTGTACCCCTATTTTTACCCGTTTTCCATCTTTGGTCTTCTTTAAGTTCCAAGTGCCATCGGGCAACTTCTCAAAGAACTTTCTTGCTTTTGGTGCTTGGTCAAGAATATGAGCAGGTGGGATGCCCAAAACTTCCACTATTTTATTCATCTGATCTACCTGTATTAAAAAAACAAAAACAAAACATGTAATTTCAACTGCTTGTTAATTTCACTTCTGCTTGTCAATTCTTCCCTAGGTCAGCTGCACATAACCCTGTGCAAGGCCCTCTTCTGGACACTGAGTACACAGTCAAACCACCAGATGTAATACATTTTTGCCCTCATGGGCTACACACTCAGCATAAGGGAAAGCAGATAATGCACAAATAAAAACACAAGTCTACAGTGTGCCTTGGAACTCAGATGCGATGGGAACACTAAGACAGGATGGGGGGAAGTTTTAAGTGTCTAAATAGCCAAAAACAAAATTTTACTAACTTTTATAGGCATTAATTAAATAACTGTTTAAGTGAAAACTATGCACTAATATAACTGTGTATCTATCATAAGGCTAAAAATCATGCTTAGTGACAGAACAAAGAAAAGTAAATAGAAAAAAATCCGGTTTGGGAAGAGGCCAACTAGAAATGTAGTCAAGCCTTGGTATCCATAAGGAACTGATTCTGGGCAGAAACAACCCAGCCCCCATCCCATGGATGCCCAAATCCATGGGTACTCCAATCTGTCGTATAAAAGGAATATATGCAGTAATTTATGTACATCCTCCTATACTTTAAATCTTCTCTAGATTACTCATAATTACAAATACTAGAAAAAGTCATTACACCATACTGTTGAGGAAATCCTTACACCAAGAAAGGGTCAGCACTTGTTCCCTATAGGTGACATTCCTGCTATGCTAGATTTGGCTTACCAGTAACAGCTACACTGTGATTCAATTATCCTAAAGACTGTATTTCAAAGTTAAGACATAAATAATCTCAGGTATAATAAAATTCAAATTCAGACATTTGTACTCTTCCATCTCACAGACAATTTCTAGCAATGAAAAGACATGCCTGGAATAGTTTTTAACCAACTACTTCTCTATCCATACAGATGTAACCTTTTTTCACAAATATTGCTGGTTGAATTAAAAGATGCAGAGAGGGAGCAGAGAGACCACAACGCGAGTCTGAGCACAGAGGAGAAGAAAGAAGGTGGGAGAAAGGGTCAGAGCTGCTGAGTAGGCATCAGGGGGCTCCACTGGGAAGCTGACTTGAGAACACAGTCTGCGGTGCCATCTGGGAACCAGTGCATTAAGACAGGAAGAGCAAGTGTAAAGGGTCAGGCAGGTCAATGCAGCCCAGAGAGACTGTGGGCTGAGCCGGGGGAGCAGGTGAGAGAGCAGACGGGTCACCGCAGAGAGCCAGCACAGAGGACAGGAGTATATCAAACACAAAGGATTTTGGTTTTGACAATGAGAAAAATGGGAAGACACTAAACTCCCAACTGATCCTAATACTGTTTAATCCCAAGAAAGTTAGGAATTATAGGTTAAATTATTTAAATTCAAATAAAAACAAGTATTATCAAAGTTGGTTCATGAGCTGAAGTTAAAACTAAATGTAGAAGCTTTAGGTAACATGACAAGATCTCAACACAACAACAACAACAAAAAACACCAACAAAAGATAAGTCATTTGGACTTTTTTTTTAATCTATAAATGAAAATTTAGATTACGATCCTAAATGATCAATTTTCTACCCAAAAAAAAATTCTACAAATAAGTTAAAAAACAAACAAACAAACAAAAAAGCTCAGCTGCTCTGCAGGGAGCTGACTGTTTCTCACTCCAGAATCTCTTAGGAACAGAGAAGCCTGCAGACTTGCAGTTTCTGTGGCCCTAAAATCCTAGACTTACTAGCCTATATGAAAGGATTCAGGCACTGCCCACCCAGCACCGCATCCCAGCATCTACCGACTGAGCTGTGCACTGTTCTTCCAGTGCTGCGCCCCACTCTCAGGGTTCTAACCAGCATTCACAGTATCACTCAGGGTGCCCTCATCTCTTCACCACACACTGAGGCTTTCTGTTACTGTACTTATACCTGCAAAATGTCTACGAAACACCATGTCTAGTCTAATTTACTATTCTCCTTCATTAACATACTAACTATCTTAATAACCAGTTCAGAATTCTAAACCTACCATTATATAACTGACAAAGAGGAAAAATTGTAAGAGTGTAAAATAAGACAAGCTGACCTCAAACCCAAGTGATCAAGCTGTTAAGCAGACACTGTCCTATGAAGACAACTTTCAGAGGGCATTGTCTCTATGGAAACAGAGCTGCACATCAATTCTTCACATACCTCATTGGCACCACTGAACAGAGGCTCTCCAGTATGCATTTCAACCAAGATACATCCAAGGGACCACATGTCAATAGCAAGATCATAAGGCATTCCCAGTAGCACCTCTGGAGACCGATAAAAGCGACTCTGAATATACTGGTATATCTGAAACAAATTTCAAAATAGTATTAATCCTATGTGCTGTGTTTATTTGTATTCAACATCAGATTAAAAATACTCACAGCCGAGCGGCAGTGGCGCACACCTTTAATCCCAGCACTTGAGAGGCAGAGGCAGGTGGATCTCTTTGAGTTTGAGGACAGCCTGGTCTACAAGAGCTAGTTCCAGAACAGGCTCCAAAGTTACAGAAAAACTCTGTCTTGAGAAACCAAAATACAAAAAACAAAACCCAACAACAAAACCCTACTACTCACGGCAACAGGAAAGCTCAACATTACACTATGAATATAGTTAAATAACATTTCAAAGGAATAACCAAACATAAAGTTGGTTAAGAATTCAGACCCTTTCATGTAATGCGGTCCTACATCAGTAGTCAAGAGAAATAGTGAACCAAGTTAATTACCCCTGCTCTGAGGCTTGGCTCAGTGGTAGAGAGCAGTTGTATAGCATGGGTGAGGGTCTGGATTTGATCCCAGTCAATACTCTAGTCCCAAACGTCTTAGATGTGAGGTGCTGCCATCCAGCTGACTCCTTGGCTCACCAGGTTCTCCACCCCAGTCACCGAACGCCCTCGTCCAGGCTCACACCTGCCCTCCAGCCACCTGCTGATTGTGAGCAGCACAGCACATCCATGGCAGGGCCACACACAAACCCTTGGAAGGCATTTCCCAAGTAACCACAGCACAATTTAACACTTAAACGTTCAGTGACCTAAAGAGGTAAGGTACCTCAGTTTGTGTGTGCAGACAGAGGACTTGGTTTAAATCGAGGGGAACTGCTAAGTGGTAAATCTACTGTAATTACTCTCACATGGGCATGAATTTCCATTCACAGTGTGTTTTACTCCGACAACCAGGAACAATGCTAGGCTTTTCAATAGCATTTGAGACTGTACAATTTGCTTCTTTAATCCAATTTAAAAAAATGATTTCCATAGCTATATAGCTTTGCTATTATAAAATGAAGTGTAGAAATGATAAAAGATAAGCTGCTAACCAAACTGACCCTATGCCTTCACTATAAATAATCTGCTCCACTTAAGACCTAGAAACAGTTGGACAAGATAGGAATTTCACAACCTTGGAAAGAAAAGAATGGGGATGCCAATATAAAATAGTAATATCTGGTTGTTAGATTAAAATGATAGTTTCAATACCTTTATGTAAATAACCGTGATCTCTTTTGAGAAGAAGCCCTGCAACTTCTGTTTGCATGTAAAACACACCACTGGCACAGAGGTCACACGGCCGCTAAGTTTATTTCTGTTTTGTTTTTCGAGACAGGGTTTCTCTGTGTTGCCCTAGCTGTCCTGGCTTTCTGTCTCTCTATATATATTATTTATCTTGATTATATAAGATAAATAATTTTTACTCAAGAACCTAGTTCAAGTTAGAATTACACAAATTTTATACTAAAAGCGTTATTTAGAAACTATAAATCACATATTTCTTTTATCTCTTACTCTTTCTTAAAATTTTAGCATAAAACACAATTTTAAATATTAACTTAAAAAAATCAGTATTTTTCAATTCAGGTACTACAATCTGGATTGTAAAGACATCAGCAGAATTGCTACATGTTCAAGATAAGGAACCATCCTCTAATTGCCTCCAAACTATAAATACATTGTTTAAAAAAAAATGTTTTAAATGGCTATCTATACTGTTCTACCTAATTTTATTGTTAAGTCACAAGTCCTAAAGTAATACTTACCCTCTGCCCCAACTGACAGGAACTGCCAAAATCAACAATTTTGATTGCACTTCGTTTGGGGTTACACAGGAGGATGTTCTCAGGCTTTAGGTCACAGTGAATGATACTAAGTTCTGGAGTCGCAAGGAAAAGCAGTGCTGTGCACATCTGCTGTGCAAACTTTCGTGTTAGGTTCAGAGAGACCCCTCGGAAGTTGGTGTTCCTCAACAAATCATAGAGATTATAGGACAGCATTTCAAAAACTAAACAAAGATGGTTTCGAAACATAAAGTGGCGTTTCAAATGCACTGAAAGAGAAAAGAAATTTTACATAAATTATACATAATGGTGAGGTAAGAGTTAACATCTATTTGTGTTCTCCAACACTTTGCCGTCCAGTGCAGAGTGGAAGGCAAGTTAGTCTGGATATCGGCACCCAGCACTAAGAACTCGTTCTTCTGATTGTTAGGAGCATCTACCACTCTTCTATGTTAGAGAAGCAAGTTCTACTGGTTTGTGACAGTGTCCGTTTCATCCGACAGCCCTCTCCACTGGCTCTGGTCAATAGATAAATGTGTGTTTAATAGCAATTTTCACGAATAACTGGCGATCAGTTTTCTTGAAACTGCCTAAGAACAGCATCTGTTTTTTGTGTTTTAGGTAAATAAACAGAGCAGGTGTCTGGAAATCGTGCCGAGTAAGTTCTTGGGAATTCAGGATCAATGGATTGATTATGTTCAGTAAGCTGAGAAAATGAAAGTCTTGTGTAAGACTCGGAGCTTTAGGCAGCTATGAAGTACAGGTCAACCACAGAAAGAAATGTACAGCAGCTTAGGACTGGGGACAGTCCAGACAGTGACAGCGACTGCTGCCAGCCTCTACAGGGTCCCTAGTGTCACCAGAGCACAGCATCTGAAGGAGACAGCTTCAGCACAAGCATCCCCAGGTCAGAAAGAATCTGTAAGTCAGCTACTGCCATCTTAGCCAAGAATGGTTAAGATAACTCTTTACTATGGTCTTGAGTATCACAAAAACAACCATCTCTACAGATATTGCCAGAAAAATATCACAGTAGTCAAACACCCATTGTGGGAGAAAACACACAATGCATACTAAGCCTTCTTGGCATAGTCCTGGACTGATTGCCTTGAGAAGTAGACATCTATAACTATTCTTAGGTCACTCATGATATAAGTGATTTAGAGTAGGGATACCCACACAAGGAGTATTCTGTGTGGTACAAATAGGGGTCTACAGCACTCCTTAACACTGCAAAGTAATAAAAATACTCTTACAAAGTTTCCTACGGGCATATACTATCTGTTCTTAGTTCACTTCATAATTTCTATGTTTAAAACTAAAAGCAGCTCCTTGACACCTCATAGACGTGGCCCTGTGGAGATTTTAATCTCCTGGTTAAGCAGTAGTCACAAAAGAAACGCAAAAGATTTCTTAAGTCAAAATTCCAATGTGAGTGTGAAAGTCTGTTCAAGAAGCTGTGCAACCAGAATGTTCTAGCAATAAAAGATCTACCCACTTCTAGTTAAGCACTCAGTCATTGGGAATCTGTAAGACATTAGCAGGAAAACTCAAACACAAATATGTCTGTTCATCTTTCTGATAGGATCCTGAAAAAATGGAGACTGTGTAAGATTTTATCCAATATATGAAATGAAAATACTTTTTAACAGACCACTGTTACTAGATATTCCTGAAAACAATTATTCTATGAAGAGGAGTAAAAGGGAAGGACAGAGAAAGATTCATGGATTTCAATTTAGAGTAAGAAAGAACTAAACTCTGATACTTTGTGGCACAGAGTGACCATAAAAAAGAATGCATTGCGAGCCTCAAACACAGGAAATAATTTCAAATACTTTCAATAATGAATGCTTATCCTGGCTTGAACATTATGTTAGACAAACATACATTAAAATACACACAGTAGAGAAAAGGGTGTACAACTACTTGTGCCAATTAAAATAAGTTATTCTATATGGGAAGTGTAGTTTTAAAACTCAAACGTGAGGTCACCAGAATAAATTATATCCACCAAAAAAAAACCTTAAGCCTTTAATTGAAGGTACAGGTGATGCAACACCGTGGCATCTAAACATCCCTGTTGCTGTTGTCATCCAGAATAGAATCCTCAGTTTTGTTCTGAGTCACTAAGAATTTTCCATACTCTTAAACAGGGACCTGAACACCCAAAATACACGGCACAAAAATAAAAAAGAGGATGAAGCGTGTCCTGAGAGCTCTGTAATTCAGGCATGCCTTGATGTCCTCTGGACAGCACCGGGCTACTGGTCACTAAACAGACCTCATGTGAACAGCATTTCAGTTAGTGTGATGAGAAAAGGTTCTAAGACACACCCGGTAACATCCATGACTGCCCAACAATTTCCAGAGAAGAAACTAAGGTTAGTGGCACAGCCCTTTCTCTGTAACAGGGTAAGGGACTCTCAGATGGGAGGATCTGAACTATCTGAAGCTCACACTATGGTAACTCTGATAGGACTAAGCCACAATGCACTCCCACGTCTTGTTTGGGTGATGTCCATCTGAAATCCTGTCTATCTGTGACACTGCGTCTTCCGGTGGAGTGTTGCTTATAATGTGAATGCTGTTGCTTCTCCTTGTGTGCATGCCTGCAGCCAAACATCAGGAATGTCCAGTAACTTACCACAACAGCTAAACGTTAAAATGGCCACAGAATCTGAGGTAAATTGGGCCCTTCAATATTTGCTGTAGAAACAATGTATATGTGTGTGGTATAGGTACATTGTTTTACTTGGAAATATTCATAACAGTACAGTGAGACTAAACTTCTGGGAGAATGGAAGTCATTAGTCTATGTATCAACAGTTTCTTATAAAGGGAGATGCTGGCATTATTTTTCGTGGTCCAACAGTTCAGAACATCAGTGGGATGGGCAGCTTCACGGGACACCATTCCAACTGTGAATTCAGCTCATGGCTCCAACATTGTTACCATCTCTGAGTAAGAAATAACCCTTGTCATGGAGAACTACTTTGGTGCCTCTGTATTTTGAGAGCAGCACTGTCTCCAACTTTGACGCCTTTTTTTGAATCTCTTCACCCTTTGCTTTCATATCTGGCCGCACAGCTAACTCTGCTGCTCACACACATCCTTTTCCTTCAGACTCTCTAGAAACAGAACCCACCATAAGTTACAGTTCCAGAGGCACTCCCATCCACCAATTCTCTGTCAAAGTGGAAGAAACGCTAATTTCTATTATGTGGATGTGTGAAAGTCTGTGGTCACACGTGTGGCTAAAGAAGACATCAATCTCCCAGAGCTGTGAACTTGGTGGCATGTTTTTCTTGCTAGTAAACAAAATGATGGTGCTTTATCAGCACTGTATTTTAAAACAATATGAAAGTGGTAGGCTCAGTGAGTAGGGGTGGGTACACTCCAGGAGACCCCAGAGTTTGCTCAATGGGTAGGGGTGGGTAAGCTCCAGGAGACCCCAGAGTCCCAGCACCCACCTCAGACAGTTTCAAAACTAACTCCAGCTCATGAGATCAGATGCCTCTGGCCTCTGCAGACACCTGCATACATGCACGTATGTACACACATACATCTTTTAAAAGTATGAAAGCTGTAATTAGAATGTCTTTGGCTCTAAACTTCCCAGCTTCCTAATTCTTTGGCTTTACTGCTTCTGTTTCCCTCAGGAAGATGGTGTGACAATGAAACACACTAACTCTGGGCTTCTGCAGAGGCAGGGCAGATCCTAGCTGTAGCACTCTGACACCATGCACACTCACTACTGAAGGAATTCCTCCATAAGTTAAGTTTGATTCATCTTCCTGTGGGGTGACCAGAGGAGAAGCAGCAGACACAGGGTGAGTATGCCATGGTAGGCTCCCTACGCTACAGGGAGCCCACAGCACTCGATGCCGCTTCACGGACCAAGTCCACCTGGGGTGGGAGGGGGCTGAGATCCCAGTTCATTCTCTCTCTCTCTCTCTCTCTCTCTCTCTCTCACACACACACACACACACACACACACACACACAGCGCTAGCGGTCACCTGATGAAGACTCCCTGGACAAAGACACAGGAAAGCAAACACATGGCACCTGTGAGCTGACTTAGGCAACAAACAACAACCCTGCTGGCTGTCAGCAGCTTCACACTAGCAGCCATCCAAAGCTGGAAACACAGCTCCCGCTCTCCACACTGGCTTTAAGATGGATATGAAAACAGCCTTTACCTATGTAGTATTTCATCTCAGTGTCATGTTTGTTCATGAGCTCAAGCAGCCGCACTTCTATCTGGGCTTGATTCAGAAACGCTTTCTTGTTCTTTATTATTTTAATGGCAACCCATTCTTGTTCCACTCGATCATAGGCTTTTACAACCTACAAAAAAAAGATAAGTAATCCCTCAGTTTCATTAGTAACAATGTAACAAGTTTACATTTCTCCATACTGTGTATCTACTTAACTCTTCTTTAACTGTACATTCCACTGATGTTTCTAATTCTAAGGAACAATTGCTTCTACTCGGCAAGTGAAATCCTCCTTCAGAACTGAGTCTCCTCTTGTATCCCCTGACAGTATTTCTAGACAGTGACAGACCAGACAACCACAACAAAACTAAAACTGCTTTCCTCCTTCAGAAACAACCTGACTCTTGATGAATTCGGACTTTAGTTTTTATTCTTCCTTACAACAAATGTATACATGTACTGTACATAAGTGTGTGCATATGTAGGTGTGTATATGTACATATGTATGTACACGTGTATGTATATATATATATTATTTTATTTTTTTAAAATAAGACAACTTACTCAACTACTGTGTTTTTGTTGTTGCTGTTTGCTGTTGTTGAGATAGGGTCTCATTGTAAAACCCTGGCTGGCCTAGAGTTCCCTATGTAGACTAAGCTGGTGTCAAACTCACAGATCTCCCTGTCTCTATCTCTCCAGTTCTGGGTTTAAAGGCATGTACCATGACTTCCAGTTCAGCTATATTTTATGTAGAAAAACATCAATATAATCCTAAGAATACATAAAAGGTTCTAATGCTTCTCAGAAACCAATTTTCTAGTTCTAAATTAGATTCTCATACATTAAAAGAATTAGTTTATTTAAGACACCAATAAAGTATGATGATGGGAATGTCATAATTAGAAGATATCTTAGACGTGATTCACATCACACATTTGTAATATGATATAGAGTCTGACAGGCATGGCTTTGGATATATTTGACCATATTCAAAAGGTCTGGAGTTGGAAGAATCTCAAAAAATGCAAGTGAGAAGACTGACCGTCACTGGGTCAGGAAGCCTTGACTTAGGAGGACTTTTGTGACAGATCTGCTTCAAGTCACACGGGAAGCAGAGATACCAGAGTCCATACAGCTGGAGGCCACAGCATGTGTGTGCATTCTTCTATGTGTTTAATGGCACTCTGTCATTCGATCTATGGCTGCTAAGGTGGACAATATACTTCTGTCCTTAGCACGATTTGACACATGAGTATTACTTCACTAGTTAAAAGAATATATTCTGTTTTCTCTCAAGGCTCAGAGAAGTGATGTCAGTATGTGCTTCTTTTTAAGACATGGTCTTATATACCCCAAGCTGGCTGCAAACTCACTGTGTCACAGAACATCAACTTAAACTCTTGATACCCCTGCCCTACCCCCATGTTCTAGGATTATAAATATGTGCCACCACATCCAGTTCTACAGTTTGCTTGCTTGTTTTTAATCAACAAAGCAAAACCGAATTTCACAAAAAGCCATTCTGACCCCCACTTTATTGTACTCAGTAAAAAGTAGGTTTGAATTGCATGGAATTATCTAGTGAGATGAATAGCATGAACAATAAATAAATCACACCTCTAACCGAAAGAGCTTAGTGACTCAGTGAGGCAGAGGAAGGGCCGGCTGGGAGTAGCCAGAGAGATAAGTTCAATAAGTGGCATATGTTCAATAAGAGGCTGTGACCTCAGCACTTGGGATGCTCAAACAGGAAACAACCTGCTACCTATGCAGACCGTTTCCAAAGACAGAAACAGTGAAGAGGGAGTGAGCAATCCTGGGTGAGTATAATGCGACGAGGTGCTCAGATAGGACAGGAGACTCCTCAGTGCAGAGAAGGGCAAGAATAAACAAGGCCAGGTCCACTTACTAGTTCCCCAAATAGAGTCCTTAGCGCACTAACTGCTGCAGTTGGGAAGAAAAAGGAATTCTGAAGCCCGTATGCCTGCACCCAAGCTTGGTGTGGTTAGTCCCAGCCTAGAGAGAGGAGAGTGCACGCTATGCTGCTGCAGGGCTCTGAGCAGACAGAGGTGCGGGATCTACAAGGAAGACCTGTAGACTGAGTGCAGGGACAGAAGAGGTGACTGTGACTACCAACAGTTTTAAATTCATCACTTTAGCCACCAGCTAAAAGTAAACAGCAGCAAAAGAAACATTCATAAAAATAAAAGGGATTTTTAGGGCTGGAGAATTATGATCATCTAAATATTTAAATACATACTTTTCACATCAACTTATTACTATCAAAAGTGTGTTACTAAGAAAATACTGTCAAGATTCAATAGAAATTTTAATTACTGAAATTCAGCTTTCTCTATTAAATTACCTGTCCAAATGAACCTTTGCCTATCAAGGAGTCAATTTCATAGCGATCCATCCACTTTTCTCCGTTCTTTACGATATAATCATAGTTATCATCATCGTAACCATCGTTGTAAACCTTGCGCTCCTTCTTGTGACTGGAATCGTCTCCCTGGCCTTGTTGGTGTCTTCGTTTCTTTTTTGCATAGTAAACCTAAAATGAATACACACAGGGTTAACTGTGACTTAAGTCACTGTTGAGGATATGTTTGAAAAGTATGTTCCCAACAAATCAGTATAAAATAGATAAAACAATTTTTTTTAATAAGAAATGCAAAACAAAGGTTTTCTGCAGTTGAAAGCGAGAGAGAGATTCACAGTGAAATTCAAAGCTGTACTACAGATACATTTTATAAATAAGAGGTATTAAGAGATTGGTCTAATATATCCCATTAACAGAGAATCAAAATCCCTCAAGTACACTTTTGTTAATATATGGCATAATTTATATACATTAAGATCACACAGATTTTAGAAATACAATGAACTCCAAACGAAAGAAGTAAGTTTTTTTCCCTCTAACTTCAAGGTCTTTCATGCCTTCTTCTCCAGTTAATGCCAATTTAATATTTAATCTTATAGCAAAAGATTTTTAAAATGAAAGTTTTAAATATCAATGAATTGATGTTTTACTAAAGCCATCCAATTTCAATGTCCAGAATAATCTAATCTAATGACTGATGAAAGCCACACACATTCTGTCCACATACCTCCCTGCCAATCCCTTGAGCCTTTGTGGTCAATCACGAATTGAATTATTTTCTTAAACCCGAGTTTCTTACACTTTAGTTCTTAAAGCTACTGGGATGACAACAATAATATCCCAAGAAATCGGTTCCTTGATACACTGTGACAGGACATCTGATAAATGAGCTTCATCAACAATGCTATTAACAACAGTTTAACCAACTGTCAGTGATACACTGTGAGAAATAATGTCTCAGGTATTTCCAGATAATCAACAAAATGTGTACAGAATCTACCCCAGGAGTGTCCACTGAGGCTTTCTCATTTTCTCTTGACATGCTGCGAAGCACTACATGGCACTGAACTGTGGTCACACTTCTACAGACCTAAGAACCCCTCTTTGGCAAAGTGGCTCCAGAGACAGCAGAAGAAAAGCCTTCAGTGGGAAAGGCTCCAGCGGGGAAGCACAGCCTCTTCCTTATGACTCTAAAAATCTCTTAACAATCAGTTCTAAAACTAGAGTTGAGGCCAGAAGCAAATGGCAATCAAGGAGAAAAGGTCCCAACACCAGAAAATAATTTTTAGTGGCAACAAGCCAGGTTACAAGAGAAATAACTCAATGCGCTTTTTTTAAAAAAAAAAAATCCTGTTTTCCAATGAAAGTTTTTGAATATCTTACCATGGAAAGACACAGACAAAAGAACACACACAGCTCTGTAACCCCAGCACTCAGCAGGTTGGGGCAGGAGGATTGTTTCGAGTTCAAGACCAGCCTAGGCTACAGAGTGAGATCCTGCCTCATAAATAAGTAAGCAAACAAACAAATAAATAGACAACAAGCAAACATAAATTTAGGGGGGATGCAAAAGACATGACAGAAATATAGTTAGTTCAAATAAAGCAGGTCCTTTTAATTTAATGTTCAATACATTTCATATAAAGTCCTGGCATCAGGACCAAAGCAGAAATAAATACATATACAAAAATATATACAAATATATATGCATGTGTTTTTCATATAATATATATTATATATATGAAAATTTAAGCAAAAGTCTACTCCATGTTTTTTATAGTTGTTTGTTCCCCTCTCTTGTTCTGAGAAAAAGCTATAGAAATAACTCAGCGTATAAAATATACTTTAGAAGAAGGAAATCATCAACAGTGTCCTCATCTGCAGTCCTTGTTAGTACATTTTCTACAGTTGTAATTAGGCTATCTATAAATCATTAACTTATTAAAATTCATAATACTCATATTACAATTATTAGAAATAAAACACATTTAGATGGCTAAAGAGGAAACAAAATACTTATCCCCATTCTGTTGAAAATATAAATGACACAGTAAATCAATACGCTTACCTCATTAATATGCTTATATGTTTTGATCAAGTCGACCGAAAGTTTTCTCAGAGGAGCAGTTGCTGGATCACGAAAGGTTTGGGGCATCCGCCTCTGTAACATGACAATGTCAGGCATCACCTTAAATAGACAGAAAGACTAGCAGTTTAACTACACTGCAGCTGTTAACACCCTCTACCATAATCTAGTCACTCTCTTCATTGTAACCTAGGAGAGGCCCTTCCACCACAACCTAGTCAAATTTCTCTGCCATAACCTAGTTGTCAAGTTCCTTCTAGCATAATCTAGTCAAGCCTCTTTCAAAAAACAACAAAAAACACTTATATTAGACTATACACTCTCAAAGTTATTTCTTTTAGTTGGATTCTAAGGAAAACAACTTCTGAAGCAAATAAATAAAATTAGAAGATACTACGCCAGACATCTATGCTTGGATTCCATTCCCCCGAAAGGGAACTCCAGGTGCAGTCACAGTCCTGGAGACATGCAAGCCTGCCCACATGCCTTCTCTACTGTACATTAGTCCTGGAGACATGCGATCCTGCCCACATACCTTCTGTACTCTACATTAGTCCTAGGACCATTTCTGTTTCTGAATTATTTCTAAAGTCTGACTGGTTTACAACAATAGGCAGATAAAGACACACCTAGCCACTGAACTAGCCTATAACTTCTAAAACAGTTGACTCCAATATTCCAGTGTTGGATGCTTAAGAAGTACGACTCTAACACCCCCGGATTCTACCCCTCTGATAAGTATCTGCAAGACCGAAAACTGGACAAGCACACCAATGTCATGGAGTCCTTCTACAAGCACCATTCTGCCGCCAGGTGTCATGCCTTAGTGCAGGAGTTCCTAAAGGGGCTCCCAGCAGTCAACAGACTCAAATACACTAACACTGGGCACCTACAGTGATGACCACTAGACTATTCTTATGTCACTGCTCAGCTCTTAAGAGACCCTTACAGCACTCAAGTTTTGGAGACCAGAAGATAATGACAAAGACTTTCTCAAAGGTCAGCAGCTTGGAAGGCAAAGCCTAAAGAATATATAACCTCACGAAAATGTCTGGAGTCCTGGTTAGCTGTGCACAGAATTTGAAACAAGTACAGCCCCATTACAGAGTCTGTGCATTACCTTCCTGCATAACCGTGGAGGCCAAGAGACAGCCCCAGGCAACAGGGTGCAATCTAGTTCCTTTGCACCATCTCTAGCGGCCTGGAGCTCACCAATTACGGTATACTGGCTGGCCAGGGAGTCCTAGGGATCCCTGCGTCTCAGCCTCCTCAACACTGAAACTACATGCACATAGCACCATTTTCTATGGAAAAGCCAGGAATGAGGCGAGGGCCCTAACTTACAAGGTAAGTGCATTACTGACACCATTTCCCAGGCCCAGCATACTCAAATTCCTAAAACTTTGCTATCCAAATGGTAAATCCACTGAACTGAGTGACTGATCATCTCTTTTGGTTCTAATAAGGTAACCTAGCAGGAGTTACTCTAACTATTCATCTGAAGTATCTTTGTAATTAACAAGACTTAAAATAATTTTCCAAATGCTTTATTCCTCAAAATATAAACAGGCAAAACTCAAAGAATGCCACTCCTTGCGGACTTATACTGACAGACATACTAGTATGTCAATTCTTTCATGTGAGTTAATGCTATAAGCATTTAAAGTAATGAAAAAGTTTTAATTGACAGTCCTTCCCTTTTTAATACAAGTTTCATTAAAGTACCTTGTGTTTAAGAGGCCCTTTCCTGTACTAAAGCAATGCAACCTCGATGATAAAAAAATCACTGAAACATTCCACTACTGCTGTATGTAAAAGTTGGTATTATAGCAAAACCAATTCAACACTCAAACAGTAAAATGACACTATAAGCAACTATTTACTGAAAATTATTTTAAGCATGCATATTTTGTTATGTATCTTCTAAGAAAAGGTACTATTCCTGTCACCATTTATACAGGAGAACACCAAGTATGCCCCCAACAAGCTGGCCAGAGTCCTAGAGCAAGCACAGCTGAACAAGGGCAACACCAACAACACGACAAGTGAAAGAAAGACCACGAGTCCTCAGCCCTACACAGAGAACTACAGGCAACTAAGGATGCTGACAGCAGGAGAGACCGTCCTCCCCAGGGAAGGGCACACCAACTGGTTATCCGATACCAAATGGCCAGTCCTGAAAACATACATGCAAGTGGCAGTACACAGACTGAGCAGGTTATATTTAGAAATCAACACTTCACTTAAAACATATTTTTATTCCATTCATTTTAGATTTAGTCCCATTTTCATCCACAAGAAAACAGAACACTATTTTCTGCCTGTGTGCTGTTCTCAGAGTGATCCATGAAGGAATAACACTTAAACCCACCTCCAGGGCACTGGAGTTCAAGAACACCAACAGATGCTTTGAGAGTTGGACTAGCCCAGAGATCAGGGTTCAAGTGAGAGTCATACTCGTCTGCATTCACGTTTATTTGCTTCTCATTTTTTAACTATTTTTCAAGTGGAAACTTTTATATTTATACCCAACATATGCATGAGAAAAACTAATGACCAGGAATAAGATCTAAGTCAGCTCCTCTCAATCCAAGAGCTTGGGTAGTGAGTCTCACTTAGAAGACATTGATAAGCAACAAAAATCACATTATGAATTTTAAACAAGACAACAATTGGAAAATACATAAGAAGGTCTAGAAAAAGGTCCTGGTTTTACATTTAAGAACCTCTCAGACATGAGGTGTCCCTGTGTCTCTAACTCAAGTCCTCTAAGCAGATCTAGAGCCAACTCCATGAGCCCATCACATCTTCCCTGGCAAGTGACACCTTATCAGTCGTAAGGAAGACACCTTCTCCTAAAGACTGACTTACAGATTCAGAAACTTGTGGACTTTGAAGAGATACTTCATCATCATTGACAGCCTTATTTGTTTGTAGCCCTAGCTGTCTTAGAACTCACTATGTAGACAAGGTCAAACTCAAACACAAAGATCTGCTTGCCTCTGCCTCCCGTGTGCTGGGATCAGAAGTGTACGTCACCACACCTGCCTCTATTTAGTAGTCATTTTACATCACATGAACCTTTAAAAACGTTTTGTGTCTTAAATCAAAGATACTAAGCAAATTATCTTTAAGTGATTTAAAGACATTGGCTGAATACAAAAATAGATACTCTGCTATCTAAATTATCAACAAGAGATCAATTATTTTAAAGGAATTTTCCCTGGCGCCCTATGAACAGCAGCTGTTCTACATCCCAGAACGTGTATCTAAAGGAAGCAAGTGGAGCTGGACTCGGAAGTCCACCCCCACTCACACAGAGAGATCAGAAGTGGAAGCACACCCCTGAGCACACTGGGTCTTCCTTGCACACTGCAGGAGCACCAGTGTGCTCTGCTCTTACTCCACCCTTGCTGCTTCCCTCGGGTACATCATCCTAAACATTCTGAGGAACCGCTTCAATTCTCAAGCACAGGCCTAACTTTCATTCATTCAACTGAATGAAACAGATTCTAAGCCCCACCACGATGTTGCTGTTTCACGTACTCTACACTTTGCTAATATAGAGAGGGGCTACTGGCAACAGACACCTATAACGTAGACACTCAACCAAAGCCAACTACTCACAAAATCCAAACACTACTCAATTAAAGAAAGCACTTTTCAACTAATCCAGTATAAGAAATACTTGTCATTCCTTACTTGCTATACTAAAAAATCTGAATAACGCAAAGGCCAACTAAAATCCTAAATCCATTAACAGCAATCAAGTTCCTTACTCACCACAGTGAGAAAATAAAACTACCTCACAATCACAGCCTGTGAGAAGATTTCCCCAAACAGTAATTAATGTAGGAAGTAGCTAATTCAAACATTTAAGATATACCTACACATATGCACACAGTATGTTCAGAGATTTCAGCATTCTTTTATAGCCTCAAATTTATGAGAAACTGCTGGAACTGTAGTCTGAATATTTGAACAGTTTGTTTAATATTCACACATCTTTTGAGTGTTAAGGATTTTTGCCTATAACTTTATAAATGTATATAAAAGCTATTTATAACATAAAATCATAACATAAATTTGTTATGATTCTCAGTTTCCTATGCCTTTCTTAAATTAACCATTATCTTTCCATAAATATAAATTTTATTTTTTTAAAGTTTTAAATCTCTTCCTTAGAAATAATTTCCCTTCTTTTCCAGAATGAAAAGCTGTAGCTGTATTTCCAAGTATCTTTCAATAAAGTGAAAACACATGCTAAGGGGTGGGAGAACCCACAAACGTAAACACACTGCTACACACCATGCTTTGTCTACCAAGGCTTCCATTTAACAGGGAAAACCGAAGGCATTTTGCCATTTTACTGATCTAGCATTTTCAAAGGTATAAGCGATAATTTCAACACCATTTCTGACAATTAATGAAATTACCTGGTTAGTTAGAGGTTGCTGAATCTGGTCAGAATATGATAAGGCAGGAACTTGCTGGTCACTGAAGTTTGGCTGGCGACGGTCACTGTACTGATGTGAGTGGGGCATCTGTCCAGCCATCTGAAGGCCAGCAGCATGGAATGAAAAGGACGGTGCAAGCCGAACAGATGAAGGTTTGCATGCTGAAGTCTCTCCTCCTGGAACAGACAAGGAATGGTTAAAAGGAGTCATATTCTAATGTGTGTGGCATCTGATGTAGCTCAGACACTTCAACTAGTACTTTAGGACATCCAATATTAGTAAAAATCTTTGTAACAACCAACATGCATAGTCATTCAATGTTAACAGCTATATGGTAAATATAGTATAAAACACAGATTAAAATTAATACAAATTTCTTTTGAGAAAATCTCTTTTAAAGCTTTTTATAACAAACAGTAACAACTTAAAAATGTTACATTTATTTGTTTACTTTTAAAAATGTTGTGAATTTGTATGCAGGAGTTCACACATGCCATGTCACAGTTCCTCTCCTTTTACCAGCTAAGTCTTAGGGATCAGACTCAGGTCATTAGATTTGGCCACAAGTGCCTTTATCCACTGAGATACCTTACCAGTCCAAAAGTAACAACTTCCAAAACTTATTTTCACATACGAAATTCTTAATACTTAAGAACCCTACAGCATGGATTCTTGAGAAGAGTCTTGCCAATTAACTAGCTCCCCAGAACAACTCTGAAGGCCAAGTGCTAACAATCGGCATCCCCGGCTGGGTGAAAGAGCTACAGGGATGCTGCTCTCCACTGGCAAAGGTGACCAAGGCTGAGCAAACAAATACACACACACCTAACTGAATTAATCTGCAGATGTGAGACTCCCCCTAGACTTTCCCAACACTGCCCTGACAAAACAGACCTGGCAATCTCGAAAGAAGAAAGCAGGGAGGGAGGAAGGGAGAGAAGGAGGGTACAGGACAGTCAGAAATCACCACAGATAAGCTGTTGATTATAATATCCACAGCAGAAAAGGAAGATGAACACTGCAGTCCATAAAATCACTGATGGCCAGGCTTTAAAAGGGGGAAAAAAAAGTTTCCTATCTCCAGCCAAGTTTGTGACTAGAAAAGACAGATTTAAAGCCCTGATCAATCAGTCCTGCGTCTCCTCTTTCATGAGTGCCCAGTGCTCGCTCACCAAACCACACTACCCAGAGAAGGACATAGCAGAAGCGGAGACTAAGCCAGGCTACAAGTCTGAAAGCTCAGCTTTACCACACACCTGTAAGAGCCTTGCGTGTAGTTTCGTGGTAACAGTGACTACCTGACAAGGGTGCTTTGAAGGGTAAGTGCTCAGAGCAACTCTAGGAACTTGCAAATGGCCAAATGAGATCAGCCACTAGCGCACTGTCAAGCACTCTAACTTTACTGCGATGGCGTAAAGGCCATGTGGACAATGGGCAACCCACTAGACCATAACGCCTCTAACTGAATGCTAATGAAGCCTGCGAACGCAAAAAAGCTCCAGTCCCAGAACTTAGGTCTGCTTCTCCTTTCCACCACACAAAAGTGCCACCCTGAACAAACGCTGGAGTTGCAGGAGAGGGGTCTCCCTCACAATTTACCCAGTCTGTGGGCCCCCGTCCCACAGAACACTCCTACCAGCACATCTCCCGTGTGATCACAAAACGATTCCTACGGGCTGCATCTCTTTCCTCAGCCTGTGTGCACCCTGCACTGTTTCTAAGATCAGGGCTCAGACCTGTCACCACCATCACCTGTCTTTGGTACTGTTTTTAAGAGTGGTGTGCGTACGGTGCAGCTTCTGGTGACAACAGAGAGCAAACAAGTCAAGAGACAGCAAACCTATGCTAGGTGGAAACAGAACATTGTATAAACTTTCCATTTTTCAGTCAATTTAATTCAATGGAGAAACTACTCAGTTAAGGAAAAACATGTGAACAAAGACAACAGCCATGTCTGTAACAGAAAAAAATTCAGACTTCTATTTGTCAAATGGTATGGAGGAGGGCTTTAATCTACATGCTAAAAAGAACATGTAGCAACAGAATATAAATAAAATAGAGGTCCTTATTTTAAAAGAGAAATTGATAATGGCAATATGATCAAGGTTGTAAGTGACAAATTACGCAACCATTCAGGACCTTAGTTTTGCCAATTCCTAGACCCATTTAAGGTTAAGTCTAAATGAGAAGCCACTGTTCTTCCTTCCTATCAATGCTATGGTGTTACTATGCTGTAGCGGCGGCGATTCACACTCCAGAAACGACCCTTCCCAGAGGACTGTACTTTCCAACTATCTCTGATTCTTGTCAAAAGGTAGTTATGGTTTTGCTATGCAGAACTAGGATAGAGCCTGAAAGTTATCGCCAGCTGTTGTCAACGCTGTCTTAAACAGATCGACAAGATGAGCTGCTTTTGTCGTTTTTAAAGAGCTGTGCTAGTCCGGCGCTCAGGAGGCAAAGCTCAAGACCAGACTGGTCCACACAACAAGTTTTCCAGCCAGCCAGGGATTAAAATGTCTATAAATAAATGAACGGATAAGTAAGTAAATAGGTGGGAAGTTGTTCTCTAGCCAATAGCAGTAGCAGATGACGCAAAAAATAAGTCGTGTCTGACCATACAGTACACCAGAGGCTCCCAATATACTTGCCTTCCAGTTACTTCTGCTTTGGGTTTTTTGTTGTTTTGTTGGTTGGTTTTCAAAGACAGCGTTTCTCTATGTGGCCCTGGCTGCCCTTGAACTCAGAGATCTGCCTCAGTGCTGAGATTAGAGCGCACCACAGACGTCTGGTTGCTTTGGTTCTTAAAGATGCGAGTCAGAGTGAGTGGGAGGCGGTATCTGTGTGCACTTGGTGTTTTCCTGTACGTAGGTGTTGCAGTGCTGCGTATTAGGTGGTAAAGTACCTGCCATCAATGAGTGCAGATTTACAACAACTGTCTTTCTCTTCTGGGATTTTCAAGTTTTGTGGTGGTTTCTTCACGGGGATACTTGACAAGTGTACTTGATATGCTCAATCTACTTCATATGCAATTCTTTGTATAAATGTCAGAAGTCAGGTCATTCATTTCCTCCCATGATGTCAAGAAGAAATATGAGGTACCCACTCATTTCTTCCCTACAAGACTCCAAGCAGACAAGCCAAAGCAGACATTTCTCTCAATCTGACCCTGAATGACGCAAACTACCACGTATGTGTTCTTCCCAAAGTCTCTACCTTCCATTTACACTCAAATGTTAACTTAAAAGTAGACACAGCTCATCTTTTAGCAGAGATGATGTAATCATGAAGAACTAGGTTGAAGCATACAAAATTGTTGGTATTTAGCTTCCTTTGGGATCTAAAGTAACAATTTTGTATGGTTCACCCAATACCTACCACATTACAAATGATCCTTATTCCATTAAACTAACAAACAACTACAATATTTCGGCCTAAGAGTACACAACAATATACACTGGCATATCAAATGATATAGTTACCTAATAAACCTGCACCATTTAATCCTCCAAACATTATCTGAACTCAGTTACGGCCTTCTGAACTGTGCGAACTGGCTTTACCACAGAAGCATGTTTTAACTTTCAAAATCCCATTAAACTTACGTTGACCTAAGTTTACAGCCTGAGATTACAGCTTGACAACTAAGCATTTCTCAGTGTGCTGTAGGAGAGCGACTGTGGCTGGGGAGCGTGTTCCCAGTGAGAAGCATTTCTCAGTGTGCTGTAGGGGAGCGACTGTGGCTGGGGAGCCTGTTCCCAGTGAGAAGCATTTCTCAGTGTGCTGCAGGAGAGCGACTGTGGCTGGGGAGCCTGTTCCCAGTGAGAAGCATTTCTCAGTGTGCTGTAGGGGAGCGACTGTGGCTGGGGAGCCTGTTCCCAGTGAGAAGCAGCACTGGTTGGGCGGACGAGTCCACTGGCAGATTGCTGGAGCTGGTATGTGATACATTCAGCACTGCAGACCCAAGGAAAGACCAAACTAAAAAGCCTGAGAAAGACCCGAGGGAATGTAACAAGGAACACTCAACCCTTGCCTCTGGTACAACTAGTCTCAAGGTCACTGGTCTAGAGAGCACCACTGAATAGGTGTCAACCCCTGGATAGGTGTCACTACTACTACTGTGTAGACCAAGACTAGTGACTGCATTGCTCTGTTTTAGATTAAAAAGGAACAGCCAACCTAAGAACAATACTAAGGAATAAATAAATGAAAATAATTCAAGTTAGTCGAAATTAGAGTACCAACTATGGAAACTCTGAAGTTAAGGTCTGACACAGAATCCCTTAAGAAACACCAGAAGAAATCAGCTTTGCATGGGAATAAACCTACTAGATTCCCTAGCAGTAAGAAACAAAGTGTTAAAGAGAAACAAATGTTAGAGGAACAGACAGCTGTGTTTTAAATGACGCTAGAAACAGTGGGATTAGAGAAAAGGACTGCACACCCATGAGTGGCTCTGCTGACTGCGCCCCTGGGCACAACCTGCACTCATTAAGAACTCTCTCTATGGCTGAGCCCATACGGACAGGAGAGTGAAAGGAGTGACTCTCAACTGAAGCTTGGGGTCAGGCCACAGACACAGCCTTCAGACACAGGAGTCTCCGTTCGCCCTTCACAGCCCAAGAGTGCAGTGTCTTACTCTGTGGCTGCTGGAGTTAGATAAATCTATGTTAAGATTAAACCACACATCAACTGTGGCTTTGCTGAATCTAATGATAAGGTTATTTAATAAAAGTGACCTTACATTAAGGACATATGAACTGACTTGTATTAACCAATATATGTTGCTACATGATTCATAACCACACACATATCCATACACACATGCAAACATCTTCACCTATTAGACACAATATTCAGTTATGCATAGAAGCAATGAAATTACTTCTAAGATATTAAGGAAGAGCCTGTGTTTATTAGCATGCAATAGTAATGAAAGCAGTCTATCAAGCTGTTAGTGACAATGGGATAGGGTAAAAGCCTATCATCTCAGACTTCCATATCTGACCACTTTAAAATCCCTGCTACCAGACTGCCTCATTCATGGTAAATGACTACAGAACTGGCCAAGACATGAAAGAACTGGTTTTCAACCATGTTGGGGACGTCTATGATCACAGAGGGAAAGGAAGCGATCACTATACTGTTACACCAGGAGGAAACTGCATAGCAGTGCCAG